GTTCTTGTTTTTTTACAAGGGTGTATAGTTGCAATAACAGCTAATAATATTATAGATAAGAAGAGCAACTGGGTTTCGATTAATTTCCTGAGATAACATGGTTGGTGAGGCCTGTATTTCGTATAAAAGTGCAATCTAAACGTCGTATTAAGGCCAAACGGGTACAGTGAAACGAGATTCAGTCGTCGTCTTCTGGCGAAATGAACCTACAAATCTCTTATTCGTGAACTTTCATACAAAATAAACTTCTCCCCAACAATTTAAATAATATTACTAGTGAATTAATAAATATAGTTATAAGCGATAAGTATATCCACAAAAGAACTATAAAAATGAATGTCTAATAATTGATTATTTTGAAGATATGAAGACCAAGATGGCATGGCCCTCGGCAGACTCCTTTCGATTAATAGAGGTATGTTGACCTCATTATCGCAATTTGGTCTTGTTGTCAGGGCACCTTGCCAAAAGTCCACTGCCATAGTAGTTATCATAATTCCCAGCATCAGACCATGGAATTACTGTTTGATGCTGGGAGTTATGATAACTACTATGGCAGAGGACTTTTGACAAGGTGCGTTCAACTAAGTCGCCCTAACAACAATACCAAGTTGCAAAAACGAATTCAGCCCACTTCAAATAATTTCCAGTTTAGTGTTAAATATGAATTAGAATTATTTAATTAAGCGAAAGTTTGTCCTCAAGAATCAAATTTTATGCTCAACCCACTATAATTCGAGCTGAAGAAGAGGTAAAGTACAACTCGGTAGTAAAAAAATTGGACAAGCACCGAGACTATTATGTGTTGATTTCTAGGTTGCACATGCACAAGCATTTAATGAAACTTTTTATGACCGACAAGATTACGAAGGACCACTTAGATCCTAATGACAATACGAAGAGAAGCTAGGTATCGAAGAATTCCTTAGTATATTGACGGTTGCATACCTCTCATTTCGCTTGAGAAGGCGGGATTCGTAAATTGACCACACTGAATACCGACGAAGGGTTGCCTTGGACTTGTGACTGTTGGATTTGGCGAAGAAGGCCTCGACTTACCTTCTTGCGGCCCCGACGAATCCGTGCTGAGCTTTCATTCGTTATGTCATGCCCATAGTCAGAGCCAGAAAGCATAATTAACAAACAATCACCAATATATAAATGTCGAAAAACTGGTTTTGAAGAATTCCTTAATATATTGATGCTGTAGTACTATTTAATTCGTTTGAGGAGGTGAGTGGAGGGGATTTGTAAGTTGGTCTCACCGAAGGTCGAGGAGGGGTTGCCTTGGACTTGCGAGCGTAGATTTTTTCGAATAAGTCCTCGGCTCACCCTCCCGAGGCCCTGATGAATCCTTGGGGGCCTTCGTCCGTAATGTGACGGACATCGTCAGAGCAGGGTACCATGCTTAGAAATAATTGACCAAGCACACTGGCAAGAGCTTTATCCAAAATTAGTCACCAAAAATACTAGACCAAGAAAGTTGGCTGATTAGAATTGTACTTAATTCTTATACCTCATCCCATGATTCGGTTGACTATTTCATGCCTACCATACATGAGCCTAGAGGATGAAGTTGATGTCTGAAAGGGAGCGAATGTAGTAACAGCTTTTCGTTAGGTAAATAAACCAACGTATAATCCTGCGATAATGATCCCTTTTTAAAAATTCGTGGATGTGTCTGCGTTGCGTATATGTAATACTCATTAATAAGTTGAAAATTTCGAGTCCTAAATAAGGCTCCGGGTTAATCAAGCCTATTCTCTTACTTGTGATCCCTTCTGTTCCCTCTTTTTCTCTTTCCCATCGATATTTATTTCCACTAGATGGAAATAGGTCTTGCTTAATTAGCTAAATTCGTTCCTCCTATTCTGGATGTTTTTTGCTTGTTAATTCCAATCGACTGCCTAATCTTTCGTTTAGCTGTGAATTCCCCTTATCCGGTAAAACGTTGGATTTTGAACCACTCTATCTGGTGTTCTGTATGACCACATGCCCAACTACCTTAGATTTGATAATCCATAAACCTTTTAAGGCGGTTTTATCTTCCAATTACCTTTTATGTATGGGTCGATGAGGTTCTTCAAGATAGACACTACGACATGAATAAAAAACCTTATAACAACCTGATATACATAGGGTGCCAGAATATTCTCTAAAAGAAGGCATGACCGATGAAAGTGATAGTGATAGGCATAGCCAAGAGGTACTATTTCCTCCGTAATTCGCCTATCTTTATCTAAAGCTAGTATAGCACTAGCACCAGGAAGTTGGATGAAGTGTTGCTTAATTCCCTTTTAGGATTATTTGTAAATACTTTCGAATTAATAGGAAATTGGGTGAGAGGAAAACACTAGTTGAATAGACAAACTATACTAAAAACATGAGATGTATTCACCTTATTTCGTTTAAGGTGATGAAGGACTGGTAGTAGAATTTTCCCACAATGATATAGTAGAGCTGACGTTTCCATTGAATTTCACATAACCTTGCTTTTCAAAAAGTTGTTCACATCTAGGGTAAACTGCAGTTTCGACCTCGCATCTGCCTTATCAATGGAATTCGATGGAAACATCAGCTATACTCTTATCATTGTAGAAAAATTCTACTGCCAGTCCTTCCTCCCCTTAAACGAAATAGGGTGAATAAATCTCAGATTACTTATTTACTGGTAATCTCGACACTCTACTTAAATAACAAATATACTAACAACAATTCGGAACGTGCAATCCAAGGGGTCAAAGGTTTTTCTTAGATATTTTAATATATAAAAACATCAAGAGTGAAAACAGCAACAATGGCTATAAAAGAAATCACAGCTTTTTCCAGAGACAAGTATTTCATAATTTTTGTATGGAAATGGAATCTTTTTCGACAATAATGTATCCCGGTTCAGTAATATTGGTCTTAAACTTGAACAATAAAAAGGATCATGTGTAATATTTTCAAAATATCTCATGGGAATATTTGGACTGAAATTGCGTCGAAGATTATGGCAGTAATGTACATTGTAACATTGCGCGAAAGGTAGCTAAAACATTCATAATGAGAAGTCTTCGATATTATCAATAGATCTTGAAAAAGGGCTATAGTGAGCCTAGGTCGCATACTGTGATGGAAGGCTTTAAGTAGAAGTTTCCCACACAAATTCGTAAAGGCCTCACAATGCCATTAAAGTTAACCAGACCTCGCCCCCTAAAGGGAATTCTCATCCAGCGTAGAGGGCGATCTTGACCTCACTTAAGTCTGATTAACACCGCTAATGCATAATTATATGTTATCACTACCCTATCAGCCATTTTTTACCTTATTCGACCTAGAGTGACTAAAGCTCTTGATCAGGACCTACTGAGAGTATTAAAGAACAAGTTGCGACAACGAGGTCAACCCACTTCTATAAATCGAAAAGAGACTGCGACCATACCAGGGGCCACAACATCTTGGTCTTCATAACCTTAATGACAATGTTGGGCCTACTAGTAACATTGTAGGAAAATTCAACTATATCACCTATATCTTCTCGGGCAGCCAAGGGAGACTAAGGGACTTATTTGAGGCTCAAAGAGTCTGTTCATATGGCTCAATCCACAGACATTTTTAAAATTACACCTAGCCGACTAGAAGAGAGCTAATATTTCAAGGATAAATCAAGAATGTGTTATAAGCAGAGCGCAAAATCTGATCCAACTTATTAACCTGGAAAAGCATACAAAAGAGCAATTTAATTCATCATTCTGTAGAGGTGAAGCACATTTTTCAGCAGCAATCAAACTAAGCCGACCGAAGCATTACATCATGCAACTGTGCTGTGACGAATCCAAGAAACTTTATACAGTAATGAGGCAAAATTTTACTGCAGCTCAAGATACAGGAGCAATGATTACTTCCAAGTGTGCAGTTGTGCTTTATTGGTACACACCCAAAATCCGTAAGACAAAGGGACCAGGTCCGAGCACATTGCAAATAAAATTTGTTAATAATGAGAAGGCTGAGAAAAGATATTTGCATGTTTTATGGTATACTAACCAAACTATTTGACTCAGCAATAATAAAAATTTCAGGACTAACAAGCAGGTAAGAATATAGTATGTTAGCGTATCAAATATAGTTTACATCTCCGTGCCGATAGTCTCTGCTCACCTGACTGCACCGCTCCAGTTCGACCATGGACTGCCGCCAAGCATTCATCTCCTCTTCAAGTTTATTTAGCCGATTTAACTGATCCTCGAGAGGTACGCACGATGCCGTTAAAATCGAATGCACAGCATCCAAACTGCGTTCCAGCCAGGGTCCGGCCAGATTGGCTAGCTGAGCGAATTGGGCCCGCAAACGCTCATGTTGCTGCTGGCGGGCAAGCTCGTTCTCAAGAGCCTTATCGCGCTCAGGAATCATACTGCACATTGCATTCCATTGTGCTTCTATGGACTAGCATAATAAAATGAAAAGACACTTTTAAAAATAGCAGGGCCATCCGAGGTATACCATACTAATTTGCACCTCAAACTGGTATATAAAAACATAAATAATAGTATGTCTGAATAAATTAAGTAGCAACAGTATTGTATGATTTTGGAAAAATAGAGTAGCAATATATTATAATTTCTCTCGAAATTCGGCCATGCTGTTCAAAATTAAAAGCAAATAAAAAAGCTTTGGTGTATTGGAAACGTAATTGCATAATAAATACCAAAGCTAAGTTTGGTAAGACAAATTATAGATATCCAGATTAAGGCCCATCAGCTTATGTCATCGTGCATTATGGAAGAGATCAATAGATTTTAGGTGTTAAATAGAATAATAATCCCTCAGATTAATATAGGTGGAAATAGCTAAAGCAGATCTTAGTCAAGCTAGATCGATTAAGTTGAACTAAGGACTGATAGTTAAGTTTGTCGAAGATAAAGTAAATAGGCCTCACGATGCTAATGAAGTGAACTTAGCCTTCCCTCATAAAAGTTAAGCTCATATGGGGTGGAGTGAAGTATATACCTCGTCTGAATCTAACCAGCACCCTTACAGGGATTCGATGCTTAGTCGTGAGTGTCACGGTGATGTCCCCACTACAGGATATATACCAAAGTGCCAGTCTGTCACACAAGAGATGTGAGAATCAAGGGAGGTTAGGACTGATCCAAATCATACCTAATCATTAAATGTGGAAAAACTCAACTATCACCCTTTAAATCACCTCAAGCGACCTAGGGCGACTAATATCTTATTCAGAAATTACTGATAGTCTCAAAACCTACTTACATAAAAAATTTGCATCTTGGTCGGTTGTATAGGAAAATACATTTGTGCTTAGGCAACAAACCCATTTTAAATGTAATTTGGGTGAGGTCTGGCTTGCCTTGAATATACATCTGCCTTGTGATAAGAAGACACAAGTAGCTGCAAAGTGGATAGATATCGCCGTCAGGATACTTAAGACCCGATTTTGAGTCCCATATGGGGTGCCAATGCGACCTAAGCAAGGTCGAAACCTTAGTTCATAATGCAGAAGATAGCCTCTTACGGAGAGAATTCAAGTGAAATACAATAACGTAGTAATATTTACTTATCTCATAGTGGAAAAACAAAACTATCAACAGTAAGCCTGATCAAAACAGGCAGAAGATCTGTAATATTTGGGGGTTGAAAAACAAGAGGATAGAGCAAAGAAGAGTCATAGACTTGGTATTAATGAGAGAATAATGATAAATAGAGCGGAGATGAGGGATAGTGGGCTAACGGTATATGGGTTTAATCATAGACATGGTCAATGAAGTAAAGGCTTGATCACGAGATTTACTTGATGCACATGCCAAACAGCGATAAGTGAACTTGCAATGTCGAGCTAGTTTTCCATCCAGCTTGAGAATCCATACTTTGATGACTTGCTCAGTAGGGCTGGAGTATGTGTGCTATCAAAGGTTTAGGGCAGTGTTAATATAAAGTCTCGAATAGCACGGTTATGGTGATAGTGATTGAGAGAAATCACTGAACCAGCGGGATAGGAGACTAATTCTACAGAGCAAAAGAGAGACTCTGATAGAGCCTGGATGAAAAGGATTGCGTACTAAAAGGGAATACTTAGATCAACACTCCCAGTAGAGTGAGGGTTAAGGCAACTAGGAGACAGTGTAATTAGGTTTTACTAAATCCGCTTAGAAGGGCACAGCTAAACTAGGTTTAAATAAGCAAGGAATTGTTATAGTGAAGGGGTAATATGAGGATATAGAATAGGTGAATGCATCATGACAAAGGAAAGATACTACAACTATTCAGCAGAAAATTGGTCAAAGGATCAACTTCACTTGTCTATTTGACGAAATGTAATTTGGTGTTATGAATAGCAAAGCTGATTGACGATGATAACTAAGATGCCGGAAAAGCCTCTGCGAATGTACCATGTCCATAGTCTAATGGTTGAAATTATCATGCATACTATGGAATCCAGAAAAGGTGCGTTGCTCTGGATCGCTCCTGTAACACGACTAGGTTACGAAAATAAGGTCAAATCACTTCCATTAGCCTACAGAAGTTTGAAAGTGCATAAATATTTTTCTTATAGCAATAAAGCTCAGCTTCACAAGTATTTCGGTTTGGGCGACGACCACAAACAATAAATACATATTCTTAGAATGAAAAAAGTTGCTACAAAAAACTATAATTAGGGCATATAAATTCATAAAAAGTACAGTAACGATGTATTTTAATCAGTTTTATAGTGTGCCGAAGATAAATATATCAAATAGCAACAGTTTAAATCAATTTCTGGTGTTGACGACCATAATTGCTCATAGTTTGGAAGGCTAAATATTTTCGACTATAGAGACTTGCATAAAGTTTAGTCTGCATGCCAAATAAGCTTAAGCTGAGTAATAAAAGATTTATTCATGGTGTAGTTATGCTCAATTGAGCCATCTCATAAATAACCGCGCAAGTAAGAAAAATCTCTTTCCTTCTTTACTTCGAAACGAAGTGGTAGTATAGGGAACAGGTTAGGCCACTAAAAGTGCAATAGCTGGTTTGGAATAGCATTTGAAATTGCCCTTCACATATATGGGTAAATAAATCAGGCATTATAGGAGCCAAAGAGAGACTTAAACGAAAGAGTGATTGGTACACTTGCAATGAATATCCTTAAAAATAAATAATTAATTTAATATAGATAAAAAAATGATGTAAGAAAATCATATCTTAAATTTAGAAATAAAATTTGTATTTGTCTGGGAATGTACCAAGTCCATGGTCCAACGGTGAAAATTATCATGCATGCTATGGACTCCGGACAAGGTGAGTTTCTCTTGATCGCTCTTGTAACACGACTAGGTTACTAAAATAAGGTCAAATCACTTCCATCAGTCTACAGAAGTTTGAAAGTGCATAAATATTTTTCTTATAGCAGTAAAGCTCAGCTTCACAAGAATTTCAGCTTGGGCGACGACCACAAACAATAAATACATATTCTTAGAATGAAAAAAGTTGCTACAAAAAACTATAATTAAGGCATATAAATTCATGAAAAGTGCAGTAACGATGTATTTTAATCATTGTTATAGTGTGCCGAAGATAAATATATCAAATAGCAACAGTTTAAATCAATTTCTGGTGTTGAAGACCATAATTGGTAATAGTTTGGAAGACTAAATATTTTCCACTATAGAGACTTGCATAAAGTTTAGTCTGTATGCCAAATAAGCTTAAGCTGAGTAATAAAAGATTTATTCATGGTGTAGATATGCTCAATTGAGCCATCTCATTAAATAACCACGCAAATAAGAATAATCTCTTTCCTTCTTTACTTCGAAACGAAGTGGTAGTATGGGGAACAGGTTAGGCCACTAAAAGTGCAATAGCTGGTTTGGAATAGCATTTTTAATTGCCCTTCACATATATGGGTAAAAAAAGCAGGCATTATAGGAGCCAAAGAGAGACTTAAACGAAAGAGTGATTGGTACACTTGCAAAGAATATCCTTAAAAATAAAAAATGAATTTAATATACACTAAAATTGATGTAGGAAAATCATATCTTAAATTAGTTTAGAACTAAAATGTGTATGTGTCACATATGAGATAAATAAAAGGCTGAAAATTAATACATGATAAGCTAAAAGGTGAGAGGGGAGTGATGTCTTACCACAAGTTTTAGATATAAACTACATTTCAGACAAGAAAGCAAGGCTGAATAAAGGTAGAGAAAACACCAGTAAAGATTGTCTCCCAAAGTATTTCTTCATTCAACCTAAAATGCTCGGCGATAAATATATAGCAAATAAATATGGCTTGGTGAATTAGAAGGCCATAAAAATGTTATGAAACGCGAGTATAGATAGGTTGCATGCTCGCGTACTGCCTAGAGCAATATATAATATAGGTCAGTCCGAGTCAAAAAAACTAATAAAATCTTAAAATACTAAATC